CCCATCAGTAAATGAATGGATCCAAAAGGTGTGGTACATATACACAGTGGAATTCTATGCAGCAGAAAGAAAGAAGGAGCTCCTACCCTTTGCAACAGCATGGATGGAACTGGAAAGCATTATGCTGAGTGAAATAAGCCAGGTGTTGAAAGACAAATACCATATGATCTCACCTTTAACAGGAAGCTAAACAACAAAACAAATAAGCAAGCAAAATATTACCAAAGACACTGAAATAGAGACCAGGTGGACAGTGACCAGAGGGGAGAGGGGAGGGAATTTCAGGGGAAAAGGGGAAGGATTTACAGGAACTAGTATAAAGAACACATGGACAACAACTAAGGGGGATGGAAATGGGAGGGAGGTGGGGAGCACTGGGGGGTGGGCTGGGTTGGGATGGGAGTAAGACAGAAAACTATATTTGAACAACAATTAAATTTAAAAATTAAAAAAAGAAAAAAGTACAATTATCTGCACATAATATGATCTACTATATAAATAATCCTAAAGATTTCTCACAAATTTAGAGTAATTTTAGCAAAGGAACAGGATACAAAGTCAACATACAAAACTCAGTTGCATTCCTCTACACTAAACTGAGCAATCTGAAAGGGAAATTATGAAGAAATTTCATTGGAAATAGCCACTCTTTTCTGGCCTGAAGTTTCTGCTGAAAAAAATCAGCTTACAGTCTTAGGAATGTTCCCTTGTATGTTACTAGTTTATTTTCTTGGTGCTTTTAAGACTCTTTAATTTTTGAAATTTTCATATTTTAATCCTCACCTGAGGATATGTTGATTGATTTGAGAAAGGAAAGAGAAGAGAGAGAGAAACATCAATTAGTTGTTTGCCATATGTACCATGACTGAAAAAGGAATCTACAACCTAGGTATGTGTCCTGACAGGGGATCAAACCTGTAACCTTTCTGGTATATGGGATGATGCTTCAATGGAGTCTCCCAGCCAGAGCAACTTTTGACATTTTGATTATGGTGTGTCTTGGTGTGGGTCTCTCTAGGTTCATATGGCTTGGGACTCTGTGCTTCCTGGTCATGGATGCCTGCGTCCTTTGTTAGGTTAAGAAAGTTTTCAGCCATTATGTCTTCAAATAGTTTTCTCCCTTTTCTCCTTCTGGGACTCCTATAATGCAAATATGAGTATGCTTGTTGTCCCAGAGGTTCCTGATATTCTCTTGTTTTTTAAAATTTCCTCTTCTCTTTGCTGTTCTGACTGGGTAACTTCAACTACCCTATCTTCCATATCACTGATCCACTGTTCTGTATCATCTAATCTGCTGATTCTCTCATGAACTTTTAATTTCAGTTGTAGTTTTCAGTTCTGTTTGGCTCTTTTTAATGTTTCCTATCGCTCTGTTGAAGTTCTTTCTGTGTTCATCCATACTTCTCCTGAGTTTGGTGACCACCCTTGTAACCATGACTTTGAACCCTTTATCTTTGGTTTGATTGTGTATCTCTGTTTTACTTCATTCTTTTCCTGGAATTTTTCTTTTCTTTCTTTTGAAACATATTCCCATCTCCTTGTTTTGCCCAAGTCTCCGTGTTTGTTTTTAGGCAATAGGTAAATCAGCTACATCTCATGATATTGAAAGAGTGGTTTTAAATGGAAAGTGTCCTGTGGAGTTAAATATGTACCACCCCCCTTTTTTTGTCACCAGAGCCAGATGTTCCAGAGGTGCCCCCTTGGTGGGCTGTGTGCCCTCCTGTTGCAGTTGTGCCACAACTGTTGTGGGCATACTGGTGAGTAGGTCTGTGCCCTGGCCCAGCTGTCTCTGAGGCCTGGCTGCAACTGTTATTGGCACACTGATGTGCTGGCTTGTCCCTAGCATGGCTGTGTGTGAGGCCCAGCTGAGACTGCTGCACATAGTGATGAGAAGAGCTACATCACTGCTGACAGTGATGAGAAGAGCTGATGTAAAAGCACTGGTGTGTGATGCAAGTCTCCCATGTGAGTGGCTGGGGCCTAGACTCTGCTGTTGCCTCACAGTGGCTTTGGTTTGTATTGGCAAGACAAGCTTAGGATGGCCAAGTCCTCAGAGACAATAGGGTGGGGCAAATAGCAAGTAGGCTAATGGAGAATGCCAGAACTGGTCCCCATTAATATGGTGCCAGCTAGGTGGAAGGAGAGCAAAACAAAGCAGACCAGAAGAAAATGGCACATGCCAGTGCCTCCATTCCTGGAGAAAGTTCCAAGGGATCCCTAACCCTCTGGCATATGCTCCCAAGTCTGTCAGTATATCTGCTTCATTACTACCTAGATGCTTCTCACACTGCTGCCTCTGCCCTGGGGCTGAGAGTGTGTTTGTGAATCAGCCCTTTAAAAGCAATGACTTGGTTTCCCAATCCCTCAGCTTCCCTGGAAGCAAGCCTCTCTGGTCCTCAAAACCAGATGGGGGGCTGCCTTTCCTGATGCTGGTGCTGGTCTCCTGGGCTAAGCCTGACCTGGTTCTTGAAGCCTTCACTCCTCAGTGGGTCCATCCTCTGCAAATGTGATATCCCTCACACCTGTGGGATATCACACTGAGGGTGTGGGTCCTAACTAGACTGTGTCTCTACCCCTCCTGTCTCAATGTGGCTTTTTCTTTACTTCCTCAGTTGCAGATACTGTTTTTCACTAGTCCTCAATTTGTTCTTAAATAGTTGCTCCACATAAAGTATAGTTTTCATGTGCTCATGAGATCAGGATCTCCCTTCTTTGTCATCTTGATCAGAAGTTCGAGTATAGATCTGAAATGTTTAGTATGGTGAGCTAACAATAGTAGGCACCTGTCACACCCACTCATTTCAAGATGGAGAATGTTTGCATCATCCCCAGTAAAATCTTCGCATTTTCCAGGACTGCCACAGAAAGTACCACAGAGTAGGTGGCATAAACAACTTTCTTTTCATAATATCAAACACTAGAAGTCTGAGTTCAAGGTGTTGACATGGTTGGTTTCATCTGACGTCTCTCTCTTTGGCTTGTAATGGCCACCTTCTCCTCGTGCCTTCAGATGGCCTTCCCTCTCTACGTGCCTGTCCTAATTTCCTCTTCTTGTAATATCTCATGCTTGCATTAGGATCTACCCTAATAGTCTTATTTGAACTATTCATCTATTTTGAAATTTTAATATTTTGACTTTTTGTTTTTATTGCATTTTTCTCGTTTACTAATCTAAAGACACTATCTTCAAATGGTCGCATTCTGAGGTAATGAGTATTAGGACTTCAACATATGCATGGGGGGGTCACAACTAAACTTATAACCCTCATGCCCCTTTCTTGTCAATCTTTTCCATAAAGCAATCACTTTCTGATTTCTATCACCATAGTTTTGCCTGCTCTTGTGTTTCAAATAAATAAAATCACATATTATGTATTTATGTCTGTGTGTGGCTTTCTCTGGTCAGTACAATGCCTTTGTGATTCATCCATGCTGTTGTGCATATCTTTGAACTTCTTTCTTTTCACTTCCAAGCAGTAAGCTGTTACATAAATATGCCTCAACGTGTTTTATCCCTTATGATGGTCAAAAGGGTTATTGCCATAACTGGACTATTATAAATATTATTGCTGAGAAGATTCTTGTTAAAGTCTCTTCGTGAACATGTTTTTACTGCTTTTAGGTAAATTTTTATGAATGAATTTTGCAGGATTAGTGAGTAGAAATTTTTAATTTTGGAAGAAACTACCAAATTGTTTCCCCAGCAACATAAGAGATCCAGTTTCTCATACATTTACCTATTATCTGTTGTCATCAGTCTTTTTTATTACAACCATACCAGTAGGTATGTAGTGGTACCTCATTGTAGCATTCATTACCGCTGTAATGTTACATATCTTTTCATGTGCAATTTGCCCATTCATATATCTTCTTCTGAGAAGTATTTGTTCAAGTCCACACATTAAAAAATCTGGATAGTTTTTATTATTGATTTGTTGATGTTTCATATATATAAAAATTATCAATATGTCATCCAATCTGTAATTTGCCCATTTAGATTCTTTAAGATTTTGCCTATTTATTTTTAAAGGGGGAGGGAGAAAAAGAGGGAAACATCAATGTGTGGTTGCCTCTCATGTGCCCCATACTGGGGACCTGGCCCACAACCCAGGCATGTGCCCTGACTGGGAATCCAACTGGAGACCCTTTGCTTTGCAGTCCAGTGCTCATAGATTCTTATCTTTTGAGAAACAGAAATCTTACATTTTGAAAAAGTCCTCTGTATCATTTTACATTCCTATGAAAACTTTGTCTTCCTCAATGTCACAAAGACCCTCTTGTGTTTCCACTTAGAAATTTTATGGGCTCTTTCCTGTAGGTTTACGATGCACCTCGAAATGTCTAGATAGGACAAGGGTAAAGGCTGAAGTTCATTGTTTGTATTTGGACGTTCTGATGTAAAAAGCATCAGTTGAAGATTTCCCCTTTCTCACTGAATTTTCTTGACTCTGGTTGAAAATCAACTATGTATGAGTTGTCTATTTTAGACTCTATTGTTTCATCAGTGTATCTGTCTATCCCCATGTCAGCTGTCTTGTTTATTGTAATATGATACATCTTGAAATTAGTGTTTGTCTTCCAATTTTCTTCAAGAATTCTTTGGCTATTTTAGATGCTGTGAATTTACAAATTTTAGAATCAACTTGGCAATTTCTTCAAAATACCATGCTGGAAATTTTGCTAGGGGTAACACTGACTTCGTAGATCAAGTAGAAATTGGGTGTCTTAACAATATTGAGTCTTCTCATCATAAATGTAACATACCTCCCCACTTATAGTCATGTGCTGCTTACAAGTATACATTCTGAGAAATGTGTCACTAGGTGATTTTATCATACGCAAATGTCACAAAAGTGCAATTACACAAACCTACATGGTATAACTTACTAGACACTTGAGCTATATGGTATAGCCTATTGCTTTGTAGGGGAGGAAAAATAATTTTCCCTTTAATCTTCTGGATTCTTGGCTGAGACATCCCAGTAATGAGACAAACAGAAGAAAAACAAATAAAAGTTTAATAACATGTATACCTTCTGCAATACATTGGAGAGACGAAGAAAAAAAGTCGTTTGTTGACATGGATGAAGCCACCATTGTACACACCCTCTCGGCTGAAGACAAAAGGTGTGGGGTCGAGGACTGTCAGTTGTGAAAGGTTACAGGAAAAGCACAGCAACAAGGGTAAGGTTGTTACAGACTTGAGTCCTCGTCTTCTGCATTTTTAAGAATTTGTCAAGATAAGGTCATCTTCCTTGGTGTAGCAAGAGATATTTTATAAATGGAGATTTCCCATTAAAATGTAAATGTCTTTTACAAAAAGTAACTCCATGTTTTTTTCAAAGTTTCTTCCACATCTGTCTAAACTAATTCTTAGGCCAGACATATTCTGAGGTATCAAATTCTGTTCCTCTATGGTGTGTATGCTACTAAGCTATACAGCATGGCACTGAATTGCACACTGTAACACAATGTACATATTTGTGTAAAGCACTGTGCTACTACAGTGTGATGGCTGTGTCAAGAGGTGGTGATGGTTCTTCAGCTCCATTAGGATCTTACGGGACCACTATTGTCAGTATGCAGACCACTGCTGATCAAAACAGTTAAGCAGTACAATGACTGTGGCTAGGTATTTTAGAGTTCTTAACAGCAATTTCCATTGGGTATTTTAGAATTCTTTAAATAGCAAATTTCAGTGTAAAGATCTTACATGTCATTAGATTTGTTCCTAGTTGTATGACTGTTTTATACATTGTAGATAATAGTCTATATTTCAGGCTTTGAGTGTTATTACAGAATTGTAGTTTATCAGCATTATTGAATTTCTATCCAACGACCTAAGTACACTTATTGTTCTAAAATTAGTTTTTAAAACTTCATAGGATTTTTGTAAACATGCATTATCCCTTTTTTCATGTCACAGTGAGTGAGATTTCCACTGCAATGTTGAATAGAAGGCAAGAATTATATTTGCCTTTTGTCCAATCCTGGAAGAAAGGGATTTAATATTAAACCATTAATTAGCTGTTAGATTTTATAAGTGCCTGTTAAAAAGTGGTGACATTGTTTCAGGTTTGGCAGGGTTTTTATCCTAAAAGTGTTCCATTTCATCAAATTTTTGTTCTGAGTTTTCTCCTTTATGTCATTGTATAAATTATATTGCTGGGATAAACTCTACTTGGTCACACTGTATCATTTGTTTTTCCTTGCTAAGCCCCATATCCTACTATTTTGTTAAGTATTTTTTGCAGCTATATTCATGAGGGACATGAATGTTTTTCTTTTCTCAGATCTGTCAAGTTTTGTTACTGGGGTTATGCCAGCCTCATATAACAAGTTGAAAAGTTCACTTTGTTCCTTCAGAGAGTTTGTGTAGAACTTAGTATCATTTCTAACTTAAATATTTGATAAAATTCATCTGTGAAGTAACCAGGGCTTGAAGTTTTCTTCTGGGAAAGATCTGTGATTACAAACTCAACACTTTAATAAACATGGAGCTATTTTTAGATTTATTCTTCTTGCATCACTTTTGACAACTTACACTGCAAAATACATTAGTTTCATTCAAATTGTTGAATTTATTGGGATAAAGTTGTCCATAACCTGCTCTTGTTACCCTTAATGTCACATAGCTAAGAAATTATGTCCCTTTTTTCATTCCTGGTATTAGTAATTTGTGTTTTCTCTTTTTTACTTGATCAGGTTTTTTCCCCCTAGTTTCCTAGGCTGTCATAACACAGTACCATTTAAACTGGGTGGCCTGCAAGAACAGAAAGTTATTCTCGTATTTCTGGAGGATAGAAATCCCAAATCAAGGCTCCCTCTGCAGGCTGTGGGAGAGAACCCTTTCCCACTTCTTCCTAGTTTCTGGTTGCTGGAAACCTTTGGCATTTTTTAGCTCGAGGCTGCATTACTCCAGGCTCTGATCGTCTTCACTTTGCCTTCTCCATTTCTGTGTCACGAGGTAGGTAGTTTTCTCATAGATTAATCATTGAATCTAGGGTTCATCCTAACCTAGTATGATCTCATCATAAATAATTACATCTACAAATACCCTATTTCCAAATACAATCACACCCTGAAGGTCTGGATGAACATGAATTTGGGGAGAACACCACTTAACCTCATATATTAGCCTTGCTAGGTGTTGACTAGTATCAGTCATTTTAAAAAACTCATTTGAATTTGCCAATTTTCTCTTCACTAATGTCCATTTTGGAAAAATTCCCAGTATGTCTTCAAACATTTCTTCTCTACCATCCTCTTTATTCTCTTCTGAAGGTTGTTACAGATTTAAGGCCTTGAACCTCAATTACGAGACGTAAGTCTACTTGATTTTGCCTTCAAAACTCACATGCTGGTTTTATTTTTACTCTTTTCAAATTTTCAGTTTTTATACTTTCAAATACCATCTTCAACTTTATCCACCCTTTTCTCTATGTGTAATCATATCCAATTGTGGAACTTTCTTGTACTTTTCAAGGTGTGCCTGTCTCTGCTGAAAGTCCCCATCTTTTCATGTATGTTTTCCACTATTTTCACTAGTTCCTTCAGCATTTTTATCATAGTTATCTACCCAATAATTGCAACATCTGGGAATCTCTGTGTTTGCTTTTATTGGCTGTTTCCTTTCTGGATCACATTTTTCTGCGTCTTTGCATGTCCTGATTTCTTACTGTATGCTGGATATTTTGTATAAAAGCAGAGTAGGTGTGAAAATAAGTAAGTTACCTCCAGTAAAGGGCATGCCTGTTACTTCGTGGGACTCCTGGAATGGGAGGCGGAGTTAATCATATCTGTAGTTGAGGCGGAAATTAGCTTTGTTGCTGCTTTGGTTTGATTCACTTTACCAGTTGCTTAAGTATTTTAAGTGGACAAATCTTTCAGCACAGATTGGGATCTGAGCATTGGGTGAGATTTCAGTAAAATCTCTGTGCTTTTCGGTCACGCTGCATTTCAGGCATTCTCTCTATATTCCACTCAGGCTTTCTGACAAGGCAAACTCTCTGAATCACCATACCTTCTGGAGGAAAGAACTGCTTATGACTCCTGATGCCTTGGAAAGAGCCTTCCTAATAAATGAGTACATTCTTTTCTAAAACCAACTGCATATCATGGGTTTACAAGGGCACAGATAAGTCGATAGTAGTAACTGAACTTCATTTCACAGAGAGTCTGCAGAGGACACTGCAGAAGAGATAGGAAAAGCTGTCTTCCCCTTTCATAAATCCATTAAGCATTTATAATACATATATGACAGTGTTCTAGAAATACACACTATAACCTTAGTACATGAAAAGGATAAAAAGATGCCTAAATTATATCGGATTTCTAGTTTGAATTTCCAATATCTGGTTAAAAGTGGACTAGTACAGGCTCCTTCTATCATGTGACTGTGTCATCTCCTAATCAATATCCAACTGGCACAAGGAAAAAAAATTGTGGAAGAGCATTCTCGTTTTTCAAACACATCCATTTCATTTATATTTTACCAGCTAAAATTCAGTCTTGTGCCGATTCTCAATTGAAAAGGAGTCTGGGAAATGTCATCTGCTGTTTCCCCAGGACAAAAAAGAAATGGATTTGCACAGTCAGTTCATAGTGCTAATGTCGTCAGCCTAAAACCTCTTACTTTTAAAGCCAAGCATTCAATACAAAAACGTTAATTGAATTAAAGAGAAGTGTATTATTTGTTCAGTCAACCTATTGTATCTGACAGTGGAGGCAAAGCACAAGTATATTTTGAGGGAGTATGTAGTTATCTTCCATTACTTAAGCCTTAAGGTGAGGGATAAACAGATATTCAAAAATTTCTAATTATAACCCCTTCTTGAACTTATTATTGAGTCTATGTTATTTCTAAGGATAAAAGATGAACAATGGAATTAAAACACAATCAAAGTAACATTTTTATTTTAAAATAATTTAATGTGTTAGCGTATATCTTTAACCTAATATTCTAATATGAACATACAAGTTAACATTCTTCCCTGTGTCTCCTCACCCACACATAATTTATATTTTCATGAATGTTAATGCTATCAATTTTCCCCATACGTACTGTGGTCTTCGTGACTGAATTCGTTTCCTTGATACACAGCAATCAGGACTACGTGCCATTTCTCAGGTGTGGTTGCACTACGACTTGCAGAGACACAGTAACAGTTTCTTAAACTTCACACCCAGTTTTTCTTCTAGTGATGCTAATCGATGTTTATTGAAATGTCTCCCATGTTCACTGTTGCTTGATATAAACAGGATTTTATTCCATTTGGTCTTAGTCCAGAACTCTTCAGAAACACTGAGTCCTATTCTAGCATCTTACTCATCCATTGAGCTCTCTGGTCCCACCATATAACCATTTTCCTTTAAATTGCTTCCTCTCCTCTTTTATTCTGGCTGTAGAACTATTTCCTTCTAAAAAGATAAACCTTGTTCATCTTCTACAGTGATTCTTTTGCAAACCAGGTTGTCGCCAGATACCTTCAAATGAGCATTTTCTTCTTTTGAATTTTATCTGGGATCTGTAAACCATTTTTTACCTGTGTAGACAGGGATTCGGGCAGAAGCTGTTCAATCGCTTGCATGACCAGAGGGACAGAAAACTGTCTCGGTAAATGTATCACAATGATCTTGCACCTAGCTTCTTTGGGTTGCTCGTTGTGTCCTTTAGAATTTGAGTTCTACAAGATCACATCCCTGTAAAAAGGCTCAGTATTTGCCTGTCCAAGGCTACTTTTACAAGTAATTATAATTTGCTATAAAGAAAGGTCTAAAAAGCTCTTGACTGCAGTTTAAGCTAATCTTCTTAATGATCTGCTGTTATTCACCAACTTCTTAGCCTTGTGAATGAACACTAACCTTTGTTTTATGTGAAACATGAGGGGAGTAAATTCAACTGTAGCTGCTTCTCTCAATTGGAATTAAAATCTCACACCAGAGACTGAGCTTCATGAAATCATTGCAACGATGTGTGACAGACCAGCTGGCACAGGATCTGGCCTTGTGGCAGGAACCGAGTGAATAACTTCAAAACCACTTGTGCGAAGCTGAAGCAATGACAGTGTTCCCGTGAATCCGGGTCTGCTTCCCTTTCTAGGTGGATTCCAGGGAAAAGAATTTCTTTACAATAATTTCTAAAACGTAAAAATGCTGGGTTTTGCAAATTGTTGGTGCATTTCTGGTGTTTTGCTTAAATAAAGTAGAAGAAAAACTCTACAGTGCTTTAGTCCTTTGGTTTTATTTTCTGGGATTTAAAAAAAGTATAGGATCACTTCTTGGCCTTTTGGCTAAGATCAAGTGTAGTATCTGTTCTTATCAGTTTAAAAAAAGTATAGGCATAAATGTTTTTTACATGATCGTCTTGAAGATATCCTTTAAAATAATTGATAAAATGGCTTAATTCACATCTCTTGATTATCAGAACCCATCACTGTCAGCCTTGATTAATTGGTTGGAAATTTCAGAGCAGAAGTAACTCTTGAATCTTTTCCCAATCCCTGAGAATGATAATCATCACAGAATTATTTTATCCTTTCATCAGAACTCTCTGGAGAGTAGATGTGTTCGTTCGTTGTTAATAGGACAAGGAACCGTGTCATAGAGGGTTAATCCATGTAAACTGGTTTCCACCCGTAAAGAAATTTTCTGGAACAGAAAAGAAAATCATACATAGAAGTTTGTTCTTTCATAACAGATTACATTTTCAATATGTTCTGAAGATATCTTTTGGGATTAGGAATGCAAATCAATTCTAACGAGTGACAAGAATGAGACAGCTCTCGTACTGCCAAAGGTACCATCTGCAGTACTAGTAGAGCTGGGAAAACCAAGCTTCTCTATTCAGAAGTTGCTCATTTATCTTTCATTTCTATGAAGAATCAGTAAAACTAACTAAGTGTTGGGGATGGCCAACAAGAGTCTTGCTAGTAATACACTACTTCTGCAAACAGAGAAACAATTGACCTGAGAAGTTTCTCTTCCGGCATCACTGCTTAGAAAGTTATTTTTTGAAATGGTGAAACTTTAGAAAGTTCTCATACTCCACCTGCAGGAAGTTAGACCACATAAATCCAGTCTTGTGTTTTCTTACCTGAAAATCGCGGACATAGGTCAGGAAAAAACCAAAGAAGGAAAACGACATAGACCATTCTGCTGAAGTGGTGATCGTATGAAGCACATAGCCCTTGAGTGGCAATGAAAAAAAGAACAGTTCTGTAAAATTTCATTCAAATGGTCTAGAATTTCTCTCAAATAAAAAACCTGCCCCAGCTGGTGTGGCTCAGTGGACTGAGCTCCGGCCTGTGAACCAAGGAGCCGCTGGTTTGATTTCCAGTCAGGGCACACACCTGGGTTGCAAGCCAGATTCCCCAGTAGGGCGTATGCGAGAGGCAACAACACACTGATGTTTCTCTCCCTGTCTTTCTCCCTCCCTTCCCCTCTCTAAAATAAATAAATAAAATATTTTTTAAAAAAACCATAATACTTATAAACCCTAGATTTTTTCAACATCTCTTGAGAATTAATGGGAGACTTTAGGAAAGTCCTCCGAAATGATGTGGCTATCACAGCTTTGTCTAGAGCACGGAAAGGTTCCATCTGAATAACTAGGGCAGAACAGAACTCCTGCTCAACAATCAAGAAGTTACTGGCCTTCCCAGAGCCAGAGACTCATCCAAAAGCAGAACATATCAAAACCTCAGTAAACAATGCTCCTGATAAACATAACTGTTCTTTTTAAAGCATTAAATAATATATGGATCAACCCTCAAAGAATCGAGTAAATTGTTTTAATCATTCATTTTCGCAAACATGTCCTATTAGGACTGATTTTTTTTTCAAAATGATTTAAAATAAAATGCCACTGAGTGGTTTGTGAAAACATACACTCATTATCTATTTAGTATGTCCCTTCTCTTTTTTCCTCGGATCAAAGATGCTCTCTCTGTTCAGATACCTACCATATTATGTAACCCAAATGCAGAGTCCATGATAATACACTTCCATAAAATAAAAAGTGGGAAAACACTTTTTCAATTCAGAAGACAAGTAGTCTAATAACAGAAGATCTCAGTTGGGTATGTTGTAGTCTCTTACTATATCCTTATTTTGAGGAGTCGATTTCTGACACAACCCTGCCATCGCAATTCTTTCCATGTCTTGGAAATGTCCACAGACCACAAGTGACAGAATATAAATAATTTTACATAACCTCTATCATATATAGAAAATAATCTTAATACACAACTGACTGTTCACCTGAAAATGCTTCATTATTAGTGATGAAATGGAAAACATGTCAAAATTCATCTGTGATATAAAAGGAAGCTTTTTAGACTCTAAGCTCTTACTTTGTCCTCAGGGTTCCAGTGGAGCTTCTGTACTATGTCTGTGCCAAAACTGCCACTGTACAAGAGGGACGAGCAAGTCAGCACTAGGGGAGACGCCCGTCAAGGAAGATTCTCGGACAAGAGTTGTGAGTTTAAATTAGATTCAACACAAAAATTGCTCTGAAGGCCCACAGGGAGTGCAGGGTCCCTCCCTAGAGAGCTGATGCACTTTTCCCTACCTCCTCTCCTTCCCCCACAGACATGCATCTCCTGAACTCCAAGGGTCCCCACAAGACCTGCGCCCAGGGAGCTCCACACAGCGGCAACGGGTCTCAGACCAACCCTCTGTACTTGTCTCCAAGGCCCCGTTCTCTGACTGTTCAGTGAGCTGACAGCAGCCCCGCCTAGGGTCTCCCTCCTGTCGCTGCTTCTATCCTAAGCACTTCCTTGTTTCACTGTCCCCAGCTTTGTAAATGTACTCTCAAAATCATCATCATCATCATCATTCAAAAGGGTTACTCATACATTAATTTCAAAGGTCCAAACCCATCTTCTTGGAGACCTCCTTGGAGACCTCCTTGGAGACCTTCTTGGAGACCTTCTTGGAGACCTTGGAGTCTCCTTCTTGGAGACTTGGCAGTAGAATTCAAATGTGCCCAGAGGCTCACTATGAAATGTGGCCACAGCCAGCTTCCCTCCCCCACTCAGTAATCCAGCACTTCTATCCCAAGCTTCTGCGACATAATTGTCCTCAGGGAAGATATTATCTCACCCACAACATCTTTGAAAGTGAGCATGAGTAGGCTAAACATTATCTTTGTTCCTATCTTAGTTACTGAGGTCCTATGTAAAATTTAAATTCTATCCCTCAAATCCTTGAATTTAGGGTCGCTGACTCAAGAATCTCAGTGTCCACAAAAGGACTACTTCCACTATGCCAACAGTGTTCACTTAAATGCTGGTACTCAATTCCCTTCCCAGCGTAGCCACACATTCAGCAAAGGATACTGCTAAACGCACTCACTCCGCACCAGATCACCAACAGCAGTCGGATCCAGAAGATTTGTTTGCCGTGGATTTTGGGCTGCATTTGGTAGGAAAGGACGGTCTGCACGAACATGTACAGTGAGCCCATGCCAAAGGTGAGCACGGCTCCACAGATGTGCACGGTGAAGAAGGTGGTTTTCTGAAGGCAGCAAGAAGAAACAGAAAATGAAAGGGGCTGAACGCACACCACCAACACAGTGCTTAAAAGCGCAAGCTGGCGATTTCACTAGAACATTCCCTGAGTGGAAACCCTCTGCTGATTCTAACTACTTCCCGGGGTCATTTTCTTTCACAATATTTTGCATAAACCTGTGGACTGTAGTCATTCCAATTATTCCATAGGCCACGACTGAAAATAAGATAGTCATTATTCATCCATTTAATGTGTTTACATTTCTAGGTGCCTCTTGTATGTCAAGCACTGTTCGGTGTTCTGGTATACTAGTGAAAAAAAAACCACAAAAATATGGCCTCAGAGTTTTCATTCAAGTGAACCTGTGTGAATGATAAATAATAAACTTTAGAAATAAGTAAATTCCACAGTATGTGAGATGCTGACAAGGGTGAGAAAAAAAAAGAGTGCAACATGAAGAGGATTAGAGTGGTAGGGAATATTGGGGTAGAAATGTTCAACTTAAATCTAAATACGATTTATAGACTCAAGAAATTAAAACGTTTCTTCGTGGCTCTAGTTTGATTGATTTTCAAAATTATGCAGCAAGGGATGATCGTAAATTGTAATTTTCCCTCCTTTACCTCGCTCTTCTCATAGTAAGCATTTACACAGTCCCCTTCCCTGTAACACCCGCTGCTTAAAACACGATGGCCCAGTTCTCTAAAAGGTGTACGGTCAAAAGCCTTCCTTGAAGCCACTTGTCTGTCTGACCAGACGCCGCATGTGCTCCACTTGGTTGGGGGCGGGGGCACACAGCGCAGTGCCTGGCAGAGAGGGTCTGACTCAGGGAACGGAGAGGCCAGGGCTTGGTCGCCTCCTTCTACAATCAAGGTGCTAACCCAAGAACACAGAGTCCATTTTTGAAATTGAAGACACAGTTTCTAGTAGGAAGAAGTAAAGTATAACAATTTATTTGTCAAAGTCATTGGTTTCCTTTTGGAGAGAGAAAGGGAGACTCTGATATGGTTTTGGGTGTTAAAACTGGCAGTAAGTTATGAGCACTAAGGAGAGAAAAAAATTTGTCGTCATTACCACTCTATGTAACAACAACAACAAAAATCCAAACATTCAGCATCCATAAATTGTAATATAAAATGCTAATATTTTCTTAGTTCATAATTATGTAGATTTATCTAGGCAAAAATGAAATTGTTTTAGGGCTAACAACAGAAATATGGGTAAATTTTTCCTGCAGGGAACTGCCCTGCCTAGTTTCAGAAGCTGTAACCTCGCCCCATGGCTAAGGCTGAGTAAAAAAAACCTTGGGACCATAAGCCACTAAGGAGACAAAGTTTATCTTCCTGTTAGGGGTGCTGCCTCTGCCCCTTTTTACTTCACTCTGCTTGGCCACAGGCAGGTGACTGGTTAGCCAATGATGGGTAAGATTCCTCAAGGGTGGGACAACCTAAGACAGGTGTGGTCATGAAGGGGCCCTCAGGGAGACTTAGTGGGCTATAGAAAAAGGGGGTGATGGACCCTCGCCCCTTGGCTTTGACACAGCCTGAGTCCTCATTCTGTCTGCAAGAAGTCTCCTAATCTCTTGGTTGCCTCACTTCCCCAGCTTGACTTAAGCCTGAAACAATGCCAGAGGGCAATACAGCCCTGGGCAGGAACAAGGAGTTCCCTGGGGAATCAGGCCTAAAAAAGAATGTGTAAAATCCTGTGAAACCTGCTTTGCTAAGAATGCCCTCAATTTTCTGATAAGGGTCCAAGCATGAAATGAGTTTGTTCCCCAAAGTTTTACGGACCTTGAGCTAACTAATCCTGACTCAGAATAAGCCCTCATAGTTCTTTCAATGTTATCTACTGTTTGATCATTACTGCCTGACAATGATGAACTAAGACCTTCCTTGAGGTAATGCTCCCAGAAAAGCAATAAAAGCCTGTCCGGGCAAGGGTCGGGGCGCTCTCTCACTTAAAGCATGGCTGTGCCGTGTAGTCGGCGTGAATTTGTCCGTCCCATCTACAATACTGCGGACAACACTGGTCGGCGGAGTCTGCACCATTTTCCCCTTGAAAATATTCCCACACAGACTGATGAAGCTGAACACAGGTACCGCCCGTTTGATGCCTGCTGTGATCCCACACAGCCCTATGAACCAAATCCAATGGATTAAAAAGCAAAGACAAACAATGGAGAGCATTTACTACTGTACTTTTATTGGAACAGAGTTGTATAAAACTGCTTTGTGGTATATGGTTACATGGTAGTTCTAGGAAATTAATATAGACTTCTGCCTCTGTATCCCTTGCAAGTTTCCTTGAGGATAAATTTCCAAGGAAGAGAAAACTTCTGCTAAGTAGGCATGAGTACACTTACCACGTATTTGTTTTGCTGATCACTATTATACATACTTGTCTTCAAAGAAATTAAATTTGTATTTCTAAATCAGATTTTTCAAATGCTGTGGTGTAATTATTAGGTCACTTTAAATGCAAGTAACTACAGTAATAGCAGATTTTTTATTCATTCTGCTTAGTCCCTTTGGCCTCTCTCAGAAGTCGGTGACTATTTAATGAGAGCATGTTTGTGCTAAGTTTTATGTTAGGAGCTGAATACACCATGGTGGACAGAACCACTGTGCCCATAACTAATGGAGAAATATGCTGGAGTACAATTATTAAAAACAAAACTTATAAAACACAAATATTTTAAAGTTAGACTGTAATAAGTGCTATGAAGAGTTAATTTGCATTCGGAGAATGCAAACAGAGAACTGAACTACACAGCAGCAAGTCCGTCAGCAGAAAAGGCTTCTGGGGGGGGAGAAGTCTGCTTGGCACCGAGAGGTGAAGGTGCCTGAATCGGGTTGGGCTCGGGATGGTGGCAGGTCCGGCAGCACAGGCAACATAGGAAACGGAGTTCAGTAAACCTGCCTTATTGAAGGCACAAAGGCATCATTCCCCTTACTAACGTCCCCATTGTACGTACAGTGGAGACGTTAGTAAGGGGAATGATACAGAATGAGGCTGTCCCCCTGCTCAAAATTCTACAGGTCTAAAGTTACATGAAAAGAGATATACTCGAGAGAGAAAGTAATGTGATAAACTGCCCAACTGCTTCATTTACTCAAAGGTCTTATGGGATTGGACTGCTGTCTACCTCTGTACCCTCATTCTGAGTAATTCGCCTTCTTAATGTCTCTGTTGTGCGTGCACCGGATACATGTATGTGTGAAACAGACACTGGGATTCTGGGCTTGGTTACGGCAGCAAGCACAGCCCTGTAAGCATCATACTTACAGAGGTTCCTAGTGTTAGCCATTACTAAGACACTGAAAAAAAGGAAAGAACCACCAGACATGACAGGAATAGAGAACTTTGAATAAGACAGACAGAGTATGCCTCTAATATATGTATTTGTATGATGTGTGTTTTTATGTCTGACTAGTTATCAGATGTCTAACTAGGTTACCAAATATCTAAATGGAAACTTTAAAGATTGTTGGAGAGATCAATCAAAAAGCACCACAGGCCCAGGAAAGAAGTGGCAGTAACAAAAGCTTATCTGAAAGAACATGGTAGAAATAAATGTGGAGAGTTTGCAAATATTTGGTGAAGGTGGACTGCTACTTTCATGTTAAGAGTTCCCCAGAAAAAGCTGGAAGAGCTACAGATCCTTCCTTTGCTTCCTCACCTAGGGGCTGGGCACCTAGGAATGCAGGCGATCGATGGGGATGTCTGACCGGGATGCAAAACATGTAAAGGCGTGTCTCTCATCAGGCATATTTAAAAAAATAGCTTAAATCTATAATTGTGTCACTGAGACTTATATTAATTCTCTCTGGTCTTGGAGTAATCGCCAACTAAGTAGTAATAAAGTGTCTAATAAATAGAGTCCTGTCTATCCTTAAAAAGATAGAATACTTTATATTTGGCCAAGAGATTACTGAGAATGGAGTTTTCTAATCGTGAATGCAGCTATTGCTAAAAAGGCTGAATAATTTCAAAGCAGTGAATTCTGTTTTGTTAAGAAAAAGAAACAGGATCAGTATGTAACTGAATGCTTAGGGTTTAGGTACTTCAGGAAAACAGGCTGGGCTATAACACAAACCTGAAAGTTGGCCACGAGAGAAAGGCCCAAACAGCTCAGCAACCCAAGCACGAGGCCAGCCTTGTTTAATCTGAGGACACACTTCCCTTCAGGGCTCAGGGCCTGAACTTGCTTATAACGAACGTAAATGGTAGCAACGCCTGGGAAGAGAGAATCCAAAAAACACGAGTTAATAAATAACTGAGACATAAATTGCCAATGAATAGTTCTCAAGGTCACTACTATCCAGAAACATAGATTTCCCTTTTTAAATTAATCTGGGAGATGACCATCCCCACGCCGGAAAACAACAGCAACAACAACAACAACAATGAAAAACGAAAGCTGTAGATTTTAAAGAAAATTTAAGGTTGCGTTATAAAACTACTGATAATCTCTGTGGAACTGAGCAGGGGGTGGGGGTGGATTAATATTTACTAATAGTTAGAATAAAATTTAAGATGCAAGTTTTGTGTTTTCTGAAAATCTCAAGTGGTAAATGTTATATAAAACAAAATACTCGTATGTTCAATGTTAAAAGCCTCAAGTAGTTAGTTCTAGAATATGGATAAAATGTGCATAGGCAAAAACTACCACGAGATTATTTGCCTCACTCTCATTTCGTTTTATTTCAAAATCTTACAACTTGCCCCAAGCAGATGTAGCAATTCCACAGAAGGTACAAACACTTCACCCTCTCTATCAGTCAAGAAAGAGCCAATTCGAACTTTCCATAGCAAAATATTACTAAAGAACTCAAAAGTATAGCAAATATAGTTTTAGAAAGTTTAAAAACTTTAGTGAAAAGCTGAATTTCTGTACATTGAATCATTTACTTGACTGTAATTTTTGACCTTGTATGAAAGAATGTGAATGTTTAAAACAATCACAGCTGGTGGAAAAAAGAATGTTTTAGTAAACCATTAATAAAGAATTGGTTCAAAAAATAAGTAATCAATAGGAACATGAAATACTGTAGAACTCCACCCCTTTGGCATTAGAATATCACTCAAAAATCTAAATGTGGTCCCACTGCCATTGTCCAACTTCTTAATGATTCACCCCAAAGGAAATTCGCTGGGGTCAATGTGCACCACTCTGACCTCTCCTGGCCGCTTAAGAAACCGACATGAGGCCCTAAGGCCTCCGGGAACACTAGGTTATACTTTGCAACTGTATTCAAATGAGTAGTCAACTGGTCCTACGGTTTTCTTTAAGATTTTCCATAATTTGGCATTTCTAGAAATTGTTTTTCTTTTAAAAGGAACGTGTGTATGACTGATAATTTAGTGATAACATTCCCTCAAGTGTAGTGACTAAGAAGTAAAACAAGTAACACAAATACTGTCTAAAGGTCAAAGGGCGATTTAGTTATAAATTTCGTCGGTTAAAACCACTCTCATACTTACATAAAACTGCGGCGAAATTCATCATTGCCCCGAACAAGCATTTTTCTGGAGCGACTGTACCAGTGTCACTGAAAGAAAAAAAAAAGAGGCATGTGGACTTCTTCTAAGGGATAAGAAATTTGAGTCCTTTATCTTTTTATAAACCCACACTCACCTCCTGTAATTTCATAACGGAGCATGACCATTCAGGCTCACAATATTTGCCTTGTTCACTTTTTTCATATCACTTTATTTTTTTCATGCAACAGAAATCAATGTAAACTGACAAAAAGCCACCCTTCGCATGTCAGGAATGCGCTGAACTCACATCCATCGGGCAGACATTTATCTGTCTTTCCTGAATGTTCTCTGACCGTCACATGTCATTGCACAACTTGGTCTTTTGCTACCTGTTGTTGACGCTGCCTGTAACTCAATTAACATTTAATCGTTTCCTAATTAATTAAAAGACATTCATCAGGCACCTACCATGTGCCACACAGCATTCTGGGAACAGGAATGTAGTGGTAAGTACAGGAGACAACGCCCTTGGCCTCCTGGCGCTCCTGTTCAAGACCGGTTTGGAGCCCTCAGCTCCCCGTGGCCTTGACCACTCCTCCAGCAGACCGCTGACCTGCACAGCCTTCTGGCCAGACCTGCACTGAAACCAGCTACTACAGTGCATCGCAATGCCTGTCTCTCAGGGCAGTGTGGTGTACACTGGCAGGCCCCAACCTTTTTGGCACTAGGGTCCAGTTTTGTGGAAGATGTTGGGGGGTCACATGACAGGAGGCGGAGCTTAAGCCAACTGTGGATGGGTGAGGGGAGCTTGGCTTGCTATCCTACTGTGGGAATGGCGGGGGGGAGGCGGAGGGCACACAATAAGGTGACCCAGGACAGACTTCAGAAGGCCCAACGGTGACCCACAGGCTGGGGAGCCCTGGCGTACACAGATCCAGTTTAACAGCCCACCATCTACTAACAGTGGAGCCTTGGGTGTGTTTCTTTATCTTCCTAAGACTTTCTGCCAAACGGCGTTATTAGTCTCCTCCCAGCCTCACTGAGTGGACAGAACTGAAACTGTGGTCACGCATGTGAAACATCGACCAGAGCAGCAGGCACACGTTGCACGTGCATGCCTTCCCCTTCCCTCAAGCTGCTGCAATGCCTAGAGAGACAGTCTCTGGCCTTGAATTGAAATGCTGCAATTCAAGAGAGAGACAGTAAGGATCTCAGATAAGACACTAATGAGAACAAAAATGAGAACCCAAAGGCATTCCTGATAAGGCACCAGGAAAATTCGGTGAACCCTTGGATTATGTTCAAGAAAGGTAAAGCGTCAAGTGTGGATTCAGTAAAGCACCAAACATAAATTTGAAGGCCTACTCTACAAAGTATCATCACATACAAAAGATTCTGTTATTCTTTGATCGCGTTCAGGGAGTGGGGATTTTGTTTTCTTTTGTTGCTGCCGATCTCTCTCCCCTTCAACTTTTCAAGAATAACATGTATGTACTACTCCTACCAGAAAAAAATGGTGCAACTTTAGAAGTTGCACTCCAAATGATGTTCTTGTTCTGGATTAGCCAAAAAGTAAACAAAGCGTGCGTTTCCAAGTGGGCCAGCTAGGCTGCTCCTTCCCTGGCTCCGAACACAGACGGAAACTGGCCTGCAAATGAGAGCACCGCCTTCCACCCAGGGGTCAGCGCACGCTTTTGATCACACACCATAAAAAAGTCTGATCACGTAACTTCAAAATATATGTATTATTCCACACATGTTAACTTTAAGTATTTTGAGATTTAAAAAGTACACAAAGGAAGTTCTAATAATTTCATCTTGTACCCCATGGGCCGGCATCACGCACCCACCGGGGCACCACTCAAACCCAGGGGACCCCGGACGCCAATGTGCAGAATTGTTTTGGAAGTGAAATTTACTTTTGGCTATGTCCTTGGCAGCTGTAACAAACTTTTTAGTTAGGGTTTACGAACTGAAAAAAACTAGCTTAACTTAATCATTTTTTGGGTGAAGGAAATGAGCTTAACAGAGCTCAAAGTTAAGTAGCATTGAGTTTAAATATATTATAATGTTGGGGCAAGAACCTGGGGTAATTTTACTAGCAGAAAAAAAAGACAGGAAAGGAAGTGTCTAGGGGACTATTGGTCAGGAAATCACATGCAGTACCAGCAGAGAACTGAAACTGAAGAACTCAAAGGGCCTCTTAAGTTATTTAAAACTCTTTAAAATGAAAGCAGACAAGTTTTTGAAGGGGAAATAAAAATGCAGGACCCTCAGGAACCTTCTCTATGTATCTCCTCTTGGAGTTACTGAAGAATGACCTGCTCTTTAAGCTACATGAGCTCTGGCAAGGTAGTAAACACTGGTGATCATGTATCAAATGATCCTAGAATTGGAACCTTAAGTAAGAAGTATCTTTGGGCTTTGTACGTCTTCCCCGAGGGCCCCCGATTGGCTGATACTCTCCGTACCACACTGCACCTCTGTGGAAACAAGCGTGACAGGGACACCCGGGTCTCTTCCTGACATTTACGAAAAACAGATTTGCCTGCTGGCTTCTCATCCTTTAAAAGTTTCCTCTTTTGTGTATTGGAAAAGTTATCTTTTCATAAGGAAAACAAATAGATGAAACAACTCCAACACGACCAAAACAGGCCGAACTCTGGGAGCAAATCCGCCAAACACTGATCGCCAGTGTGGAGGCAGAACTTGAGGGAGATGGGAGAGGAAGGCTGATCATCACGCTGGTACCATTTCAAATTTGTTATGATAAACACATACGGCGTTTACAGTCGGGGGAAAAAGGTTATAGACATACATGAAACCGAGGACCTATCCTTACCAGTAATTTTGAAATTCCAAAAATATCGTCAACAAGTTCTGATACCGACCAAGTCAGCAGGATCTTGGCGACATGTCCTAAAAACTAAGAGCATGGCCTCCAGAGGCACCCCGAGCGATGAACTCGAATCTCGATTCTGTCCCTCACTGAGTCGTGCGTCCTTGGACAATCACTGAACCTTCCCAGACCTCGTTTCCTCAAATGGGGGAATAGTTCCCACCACAAAGGATGGCCGTAAGGACTCACTCACTTAAGACCCGAAGAATGCTGAGAACATTACCTTGTACACAGTATGTGGATCTATAAATGTTCATCGCTACTATTATCTTTTAATATTATTATTGTCTGCAGCATTTTCTACATTTTAGGGTGAAGTTACTCCAATTCTATCTGCTGAGATGATGTCAAATACTTGTTTGGAGGACAAGACATTGATGGGTCCCAACTCACTAAGCAGTTCCCCACCTGAATCTTAGCCCTCTGTCTCCACATGTCTCCAGCACCCAGGGAGAGCCAAAGGCACCCTCCTCATTACAGTCTTCTCATCCCTGCAATGCCAAACATAAACTCTGAATTTTAAAATGCTAATGTTACACCTCAGCTTCAACACAAGACCATGAATGAGACACACACAGTCCCCTGTACAGGACAGGTCACTGACCTGATGTAAGGCAAAGCAGGGTCGACGTGGTGGAGGGTGATGGCGGTGATGTACGAGAAGATGAAGGCGGCGGCCGTCCAAATCACGAGGGCCGAAGGGAGGAAACTGAGGCCTTGCTGAAACCACCACATCTCAAACAGGTCTTCTGAAGTAGGAAAAAACCAACCAGACGCGATTATTCACGAGCATTTCATCTCTTCCCCCTCAGCCACCCCACTCCCCAAACCTGGGACTTAGCACCCTGAGCTGTTCCCCTTCTGAAATCGTCGCCCACACATCTCTGAACACCTGCTCTCCTTCAATTTCTCAGTAAATAAAAGCAAGACTCACCCACTTGCCATAACCAGAAACCTCTCTCCCATCCTTCCACACAAAATCAAGTACCAAGCACTGTTTATTCCTCCTAAATGTCCTCTAAATCCACCTCTTCTCTCCACCTTCGCTGCCACTACCCCACCTAAACCACTGCCACTTCTTGGCCAGCTCACTAATACAGCCCATTAAACGGTCCCCCTCCAGACTGGACCTCAACCAATCTAGACAGCACCCTCAAACCAGAATGACCCATCTAGTTCTAAAATATCAACCTGACCACCTTCTTCTCCCATGAAGAATCTTTCAGGGCTTCCCCTATCTCCTTTTAAAGGTTCTTTCCTCCTTAACATGGTCTAGAAGGTCCCTGCATTGTCTCATCTCTACTCGATTTATCTATTCCTCTGTGACCACTCTGCTCCCAATTCCTTGCTCATCATCTTCATCATCACCACAAAAGCAGACTTACCCTGTGTCAGCAGTGGTACTAAGCACTTTAAATGCATTTACTTCTCACGGCAGAATTACAGAGGTTAAGAGAACTGCCCAAGGTCATGGGGAAGTGGAGACAGGACTCAAACCCAGGCCGTTCCATTCTACCACCAACTGCCAGGCTGCACGACCACAGCAGACTTCTCCCAGATCTCCAAACACGCCGCGCTCTCGCACACACCTTCACGCACACTGTGCTGTCTGGGCGAGCAGACCCCGGTGCCAATGCCTGTACCTCCCCACTGCCACCAGGGAACTCCTGCCCATTTTCAAGGCTCAGCTCTTCGCCTTCAGCTGAGTGTCCCTGCTCTGTCTCCACGGGCACCCCTTACTTCCCCCCAGGACACGCACAGCACTTAGCTGGTGCCTGCTGGTTTTGGTTTTATCTTCCTCACCACACTTCAAGTTCTGTGAGAGCAGGAACCCACTGTTTTGTTCACCATTCGAGTTCCAGTTCCTTCGTGAAAGGGGGAAAGAAAGGGCCTAAACACACACAGACCACACATCACTGCTTTCTCCCTCACACTCTGGACTGAGGATGTCAATAAGTAATAATGGGTCAATAGTGTGAATTAGAACACACACTGTCTCTTCGTGCATGTCATTTTTTAAAATAAATATATGTCGGGAGCCGACCAGCGCTGTCCCTTGACACAGTCGGGACGGATGAGATGCCTCTGCACAGCAGAGGCAACTGTGGCTGGATTTCCTGTCTACCTCTCCCTTGCATGTTTGTTTTTGCGATTAGTAGGTGGTGGGATTTTTAGACACCTGCATTTCAGGCCCAATGATCCGCATAATTCCAATGAAGTTATACAAAATAATTTATTGGCCAGAGAACAAAGTCCCCCCTAATGAAGTAGCCCCTGAATATCTAAAAGCTGATGGAGTAGCAGCACCTCCTCTCCCTAAAACAGGAATATATATCAAGTAGAATTAGACAGATAAAAGAAGCAGGACAAGCTAATTAACTATTACAAACTAAGTAAGTAGAAATAATTGCCCCATGCCTAATTATAAGAACTTTAATAAATAATAAGACATCCAAAGCTCTGTACATCAGCTAATTCTAATTGTCTAATTAATGACTCTCCTGGTCAAAATAACCTTTGTTTAACATAACTTCATGCCATGCACCTGTTCTTTTGATGCCATGTAACATTCTGTACAAAAATAAAGCTTAAATCAAACTCTGCGAGTTCGGTCAGTCCCTGTTCTCCGGCATCCAACCGGGTGTCTGACTCTTCATTTGTCACCTGTGCCGTCCATCCTTCAGGGACTCTGAACCCTGCTAAGCTGGACCCCGACAAATATAGAAATATCAACAAATTGCAATCGTAAGCATGTGAAAATAATTTCATGTGCGGAGGAGTATCTTCTCAGTTTAATGGACTAAAACGTAGGAATTTCCCATAAACTTTGTACAGACTTACAACTCTTATCTCCACCCACCCTCCAGTGAGTTCGGCTTCCTCTTCTGCGACTGACTTTCCAAATAGTGAAACCTCAGACACTTTTGACTCGTACCTCTCATTTACTCCGATCAGCTGACTTGTTGCTAAACATGTATAGTCAAATCTTGCTAAGGTAGTTTCTTTTCCTTTGTCCCTAAAGCCATCATTCTAGGCTTGATTTGAGTAATTCTAATATGAATTATCATAATCTCCTTCCTGTTCTACTTCCCTCGTCAGGCCTTAACAGTCCACCACTTTCTCATCTATTTACTTAATCAGGACAATTCCCAGATCCATTCCTAGAGTGCTTCCCCCAGGGTAGGTTTCAGGGACAGTACTCAATTTCCATAAATTTTGAAGCACAGTACTTCCAAAAATCTTTTTCTCCTTTCATGTCTTTAAATATTATTTGAATTTGTTTCTGATTATTCAAGTCTAAAATCCCTAGGAGTCTAGTACCCCGTGTGCTGGTTCTGCCAACCCTTGAACATGAGTTTGATGGTTTTTTATGCTGAGCTCCGTTGACAGTATCCTACAAGGCTGTGACTAAGGGTGAATGACTGCAGGGAGGGTCTGTATTTATTTTTGCTAGGTACTCTGGCACATTACCAGCCTGGGCCAACTTTAATTTCTTGGCTTCCAGGTTTTTTAGCCCATGTCAGTTTGAATCCTGGGCCTAAGTGGGGGCAGACCCTGCAGTCTTGATACAGCAGGGAGTTAGACTTGAAAGGATGGGACCCACAGGAAAGTCACCAGGGTGGAAAGCCCTAGGTACCTAGCAGCAGGCAGAACTGGGAGGACAATTATTGCAGAGTGGGACCTCACCCTCAGGGTGACCTTTCCTCCTCTTGCATATCATTAGTCACATGGCAGACCCCTTTAGAGGAGGAACAAGGGGGCCGGAGAAAAGCCTCATGGGGCTCCCATACAAGCCCCTGAATGACCAGTTCCTTAAGCATTACATCCTCAGGACAATGAGTTTCCGGTCTGCATCAAATAATTGTAGGAACAAAGCCTAGGGTCTGCTGACCACAGACAGAGTTTTAGGCACAGTAGCCCTAACAACTAGGCTTCTGAAGCAGCGAGACCAGGAGGAACACCACCGTGTTCCTGCCGACATCAGGACCAGCTGCACTGACAAATGATCCCCTGCTCTGGTGCTGACCAATCAGTGGAGACCAGGACCCTGAGAAACACCTGGGAAGCTGATGAATACTCTATTGAGATCCTCCCGGAGACTTCCCGATGAAAGCCCTTAAGACAAAGGACCCAGCACACTCCCAGAGGGCACATGTCTGGGGGGTGGAGGGGGTAAGGAGAGGTGCCTCCAGGAACTCCGCACTCCCCCTGGGCCCAGCACATGTCCCTGCTGCTAAGCTCCAAGGCTCCTTCTTTTGCCTCTGTAACTTGTTTCCTGAGTCTGTGCAGCCCAGCTGACTCACTTCTTCCGTGGCTCACTTTTTCCAGGGTTCACTACCTCTACCCCTGTAACTTTCTAAATACACTTTCACTTGGACTTGAGTTCCTTGGCTCTGAATTCTTTTCTTAGCTGAATTCAAGGACCGAGGTCTAACATCTGACGTCATTAACACTTTCTCTTCTCAGGTAGTACCTTTATTCCCCTATCTAGAGCTATGGTGGAAATGAATAAATTTCTTTGCGATCTTCTTTTGCCAAGATAGAGTATTTTTTCCTAGCCTACCATTCACTGATTTTGTACACATTTTTTTTTTTTTGAGGATTCTGGATAATGTTGCAGGAAGAGGCTTGTGTAAGGCCATGAGTTGTATGAGTTCGAATAGAGATATTTACATTTTACTTGTTATGATAAAGTCATCCCCTGAAATGCCATTTACACAAACTACCCCAAGAATGCTGCCTCTAGAAACTGTACACCTTCAACTGTACACCATCCAGTCAAAGGCGGACGGTTTTATCTCTCTGCCACGGGTAGGGAGCAGGGGGAGCCTATCGCCTATCCCCAACTGGGCTTCATTTCTGCTATCAGCCAAATGCCCCCAAAGGAGACACACTTCGAGTTTACTCCTCCGGCCTCAGCTGCCTGACTTTCTTCCCCCTGGGGGTCTCCCTGTCTTTCCTACAAGACCTGCCATGCATTTCAAAGGCTAATGTAACTTATCTAACATTTAGGTGTTTTGGCAAAAGGAATTTTGAAAACATTTTGTCCACCCCACGGCTAGAAACAAAAACTCTTCCTCATTTAATCCTTTTTGTACGTCCAAATCCTTCCTGGTGTTCAGAATGGAGATCAAATGCCATCTTCTACCCATACCTTCCTAGTCCTTTTGCATCTGGAAATAATGTCCATTGCATAAGAGGACACTGGATCTGCACCTTCTTACAGCTCATTGTCCTCCAGAGGATGAAAATGGAGGAGGGTAATGGAGGAGGGTGTCTTAAGTGGATAAAATCCACCATGGGGAGCCCACTGCTCTACCTAAGTGCAGAGGAGGGCCTGGCTCAACAAATATTTTCTGAGTTAACAAACTGCCAGAACCAAACCTCTAAACCCCCAAAAGGTTTTTGACTGCTCTGTTTTAGTAAACAGTATTATCATTTTTCAGGGTTACCCAGATTCTAAGACCTCCAAGTAACCGTGGGTTCTCTCTTCCAAAGCCCCCACAGGGTGCCACTAAGTGGTGGCGACTCTACCCCCAGTCACCTGCAACTGTTCTTCCCCCCAATTCCCAGTGTAACCAATCAAGTCAGAGTCTCCACCCTCTCAGCTTAACTGCCTTCCTCCTTCCCCTCCATCCATTCCACATGCACCACCAAATCAACCTCCCTGTATTGCTCCTCTGCTCAAAAGATTGTTTTTATAAAATTATACGAACTTGGGCAAGTTTCATTAAACTGCTTCTCTGAACCAGTTTCTCCTTTTAAAAATTGAGCGTAATATTATTGGCAAAGGCTGCACTGTCCAATGCAGTAGATACTAGCTACCTGTGGCTACTTAAATTAAAATTTCAATTGACTAAAAATAAAATTGAAAATTTCAGTAATCAAAAGACACACACATCTAGTGGTTATCACACAGGACAGTGAAGACAGAGTACGTTTCCCTTCTCATGGGAAAGTTCTAGTGCACTGTGCTAGACAGTCGTTGCCAAAACTGCACTGATATAGCACAAGTAAAGAACAGAACACAATGCTGACATAAATGTTAGCTTTTAGTATTAACTGTGAAATGTTCTAAAATGATACTCACTTCATGAGGTTAATGAAGAACTAAATGACATAATATACGCAATAGGTCACAT